CAGTTACCACAAACTAATTAGTTCTCATTTGATTAGGCCCCTATATATATATATATATATATATATATATATATATATATATATATAACAAACTTTGAATAAGGGTGTGCATCGGGTAGGATCGTGTGGACAAGCCAAAAAATCTGATGGGTTTTGGATATGGAAACGAATGCCCAGTTTTTGGGTTTTAGATTGCTTCAAATTGGTCGGATTTCAGGTTGAGGTTAGTCAAGTTTGTCGATCGGAGATGTAATACAATGGTATCACAAATGCATCTTATATGTGCTTGAGTATCACACCGTGTCTTTTGTTTAATAGAGTCAATATTTTTAGGTATCACAGTGATATCACCGGAGGACGGGGGACGGAGAGAGAAGAGAGGAGAGATGAGAGAAAAATACCTAAAATGTTTTTGCATTTAAATTTTAATTCAAAATTACCAAAAATATAAATTTTCTAATTTATTTATTGATTTGTGCTTGAGATTGGATCTCACGGTTACTACAAACTAGTCAATTCTCTCTTGAATGAACCCATATATATACAGACACCCCCCCCCCCCAAGGCAACTAGGAACCGGGAACTTGTGAATGAGAATTCAACTAATAATTGACCGGGTCAGACTTAACTTAGGGGCCGTTTACTAAACATTTACTCGGATAAACGCTTACTAGTAAAATTTAACACTATCACTTAGTTACATGATAAGATTTTAGTACATCAAAACAGTATTATATGCAACAATTTACCCGGTAAGCACTAACCATGGTAAGAGTCGTCTCTCTCACTTATTGGGTAAGACTCCTGGTCATTGTCTTAGCTCTTATCGGTAAGATTCATGGTCTTTGTCATATTTATCCAGTAAGGTAATCTAACTTGGTAAGTATTTACTCAGATAAACATTTGATAAAGACCCCTTAGGACATATACAATGACTTTTATTACCATTTTATTGTCAAGTGATGAAAAAGATTTACAATTTTTAAAGTTGTCATTTTGATTAAACATTTATTACCGTTTTGGTTGAATAAAAAACAGAACAAAGGTGTAAATCAATCGTAAGAGTGCTCTAAAAACAAGAGAAAGTTATGGGTACAAATCTTGATGAGTAGATTTTATTTATTTTGCTTAATCTGCTTAATGTTTTATACTGTATTTTGTAACTACAATAAAATTTTAATTAATTTTAAATCATAGTGGTTATTTTGTGCCACCACTGTAAAAAAAAATCTAGATTGGATGAAATAATCTACTCAAAATGGATTAGGATTTTGCATACGAGGTGATGCTATGATAAAAGGAAAATCATTACACAACATATTATCTTTGTTCTGAAATATATGTTCAGTGTTGAGATCCAACATTTATTTATCAAGTACCTGTCAGTATGAACATATTATATATCCACATGTTGGCAGGGATATTAGACCGAAACAAGAATTCTCATACAACATTTAATAAATGTCGATGTTTATGCTCAACCACAATATTTTCGGCTGGTTTGTAAATGCACGACTTAATAGTGAAAATGCCTTTATGACAAAAGATAGAGAAATCTGCCTCCCTGGCTCAAATTTATTATCTCATGGCATAACAAAAATATTCCTCTGTTTTAAATTAACGGTGTTGTAGATCGAGCTAAATTTCATGAAAAGACACTTGTTGGAGTCTCTATCAAACCCGAATTAAACTATCAAGATATCCTTATGCTATTAGCCTTCTGCTATAATCCATCAAGAAATCTTGTTTTTCACAAAAATCGCTATAGAACCCTACACCATAATGGAAAGTTTGCATCGACTAATGGTTTGATTGACCAACACTAGTCCCGAGTTAGCTATTTTCATAACCGTACTTCTTTTGTGTTTGAAAATATTTTCTTATCTAATTATCTTAAAACATCTGTGTATTGGGTTAAGTTTCAGAAATATTTCTATTAAATGTTATATTCTTATGAAACAACTGTAATAAAATTATGGATGATAATATCTTTCACTAGGCAAATCAGATAGAAACTCCCATAATTCTTGCATTAGGCAGATTAGATAGAAGCTCCCAAAATTCTTGCATTAGCCTATGCTCTCTTCGTCCCGTCCAATCCAATCTAATCTAGTCATGTACTATTCAGCTTCCTGAATATCCTTATATATNGGGGGGGGGGGGGGGGGGGGTGTGTGTATATATGTATTTGTGTCTTTAATAGCGATTTTAGTGGTTTAAGGTTGGACTTTAATTTAAAGTACCTATTTTGTGATGGTAACTGTTTTAGAATTGGGAAGTCTTGGGAAGAAGAAGCTCACTGGGCAGATTTCTGTAACCACGCCACCTTCCCCACGACCTAAGTCGTGCGGGAAGTCGCACATCTCACTATTTTAGAATTAGAGAACTGTTTGTTCTAATTTGGCGTTAAGCCTAACAATTGTTTCTCAAATGACATGTACATTATGATCTCTTAGCGGTGGGGTTCCCAATGTATGAGCAGGTTGATGATGGCCATTAGAGGCACTTTTGTGAATGATAGCTTTTGGTCAATTGGCATTATATAAACTTGCACATGATTCTTTTGGGAGAAGATAGAGACATCCGTCTATAATCTAAATTTGGAATAATTTAGATTAGTATGGTGTCATTTATCCTCTTTATATTTGGGATTGTAAACGCTATACCATTTCTCCAATTTTGGGTGATTTTATATTTGATAGGCTCTATTTCCATCAAGGTATTCAGTTTAAATTGTCTCCTATTTTACAGGTGTTACATATTGTGAGAAGGTAAAAGGAAAAGTTCATATAATTCTTTTAGACCAAATCTATGTGAAAATGTATGTGAATTCGCATATAATGACATATAGAGAAACTTAGGTGATTTGGGACCCTAAAGTTGTAAGAAATTTGAAACCGAGAACTCATCCGAATCACAACGGTTTCAAGTCATTCGGTTTGTGGGTTTAATGATTTGGTTAACTGAAAAAGGTAAGTTCTAGTTTCGATTTCTTTACCATATCAATGAATCGGATAACAAATTATACAATTATTTTATTTATATAATTTCTTTCAAGATGAAATGAACTGATTTGAGCGTATATAAAATTATCATGAAGTGAAATTATTTATCTTTAAAATAAAAAAAAAGAAAAATTAAAATATATTTAATAAAATCATCAACCAACTTATCATAGTAGGATAATTGTAAAAACCAGTGGTAATAAAACATCAATATGCGAGAGAACGACTGTCAAGCAAAGTAGTGAGGCGTTTCGTCGAAACGAACAGTCATTAACTAAGTCGAGGAGTTGTTACTTTAATGTTTTAGAAATCTCTAAAAATAGTCATATTTCCCTTAATTTCCCTAAATTTAATTTGATAAAATTAGAAGTGAAAAAGGCCAAAAAAAGGCACCTGGTTTCTCTGTGTGATGATTACCAAAAACCACACAACAGCAGCACCTCTTGAAACCCTACTCTCTACTTCCTAAGTGTAAAGCAACAAGCCCTTCCACCTCATTGCCAATGCTGAAACTTGGCTCAATCTTTCTAACCCCGGCCTCCTTATGTGTCCATCTCTCCTCCATCCTCCACCCCTATAAAATCCCATTTCTACCCCTCTCTCCACCACCATAGCCACTCACAACCACCATGGCAAACCACCTCTTGCTCTCTCTTTCTTTCGCCTTCCTCATAGGCAGCTGCCTTGCTTTCCAACCCTTCCAGCAGCAGCAAAACGAATGCCAGATTCAAAGGATCAATGCTCTCGAGCCTAATGAACGAGTAGAAGCTGAAGGAGGTTGGACCGAGTTCTTCGATGCTAACGACCAGCAGTTCCGGTGTGCAGGAGTCGAGGTCATTCGCCACCATATCAAACCACAAGGACTTCTCTTGCCTTCCTATATAAACACTCCCCTCATGGTCTACATTAAGCAGGGTAAGCAAGTCAAATCATATATAATGCCTTCCTATATAATACTTCGGCCTCTGTTTGCTCGCACTTTAATAAACTTAACGAGACTCACTGCTTATTCCGTCAGCTATGCGTTGGCTTATTCAGTTTAATACTTCGGGGTCTGTTTAATTTGTTCTTGTTTTAGGGAAGGGTTATCAAGGAATTGTGTTACCTGGTTGTCCGGAGACGTTCCAGTCCTCGCAACAACTTCAAGAACGTAGTCAGCAGTCATTCCAAGATCGTCACCAGAAGATCCGAACCTTCCGGCAAGGCGACTTGATCGTCATCCCTACTGGAGCTGCTCACTGGATGTACAACGATGGACAGGAAGACATTGTTGCTATTGTTTTGCTCGACTCCACTAACTCGGCTAACCAGCTTGACCAGTTCCACAGAGTATGTATATATATAGATATCTTGACAATTGTTGTGTACACCTGAAAAGGCAGACGGGATATATATTCAACTACATCCCCATGCCTTAACCACTACTATACGCTAAAAAGACTGCCATTGTTGATCACTAACACCATTTGAAAACCCGATTGGTGGTTGCAGAGATTCTTTCTTGCTGGGAACCCGAAAGAAGCATCACAACAACAACAACAAGGTCGATCATGGGGCAGGCCGAGCCAGAAATGGCAGTCACCAGAGGAGAGTTCCGCCGACATCTTCCGTGGCTTTGATCTTCAAATTCTTTCAGATGCATTCAATGTGGACCATGAGACAGCTCAGAAGCTTCAAAGCCCAGGTGACAATAGGGGCCACATTGTGACGGTGCAAAAAGGCCTTCAGGTTATCAAGCCACCAGTTTCCCGCCAAGAACAAGAACGTGGAAATGCTAATGGTTTCGAAGAAACCATTTGCTCCGCCAAGCTAACGTCCAACATCGACGATCCTTCACGTGCAGATTTCTACAACCCACAAGCCGGCCGTTGCACCCAACTCAACAGCTACAAATTCCCCATCCTTCAATGGGTTCAACTCAGCGCCGAGAGGGGTGTTCTTCACGCGGTTAGTAATTACATTTCGATTTTAAAAACTGTCATATAAACCTACCGTAACGCTTTTATATATTACCTTTATAATTTGGTCATATAAATCTGAGTTCTATAAAGTATTCTATTAGTACACTTAGGCAATCTATGCATCCTATAAAGTCAATTTTGTTATAGTGACCTCAAATAACGTCAGATTGTTATGACGTCTAAAATCATCCTATAAACTTATTGTATCAAAATCTTACTTTGAATCTTGTTTGTGGTGGGTGCAGAATGCTATAGTGTCGCCATACTGGGTGATGAATGCCCACGGTATAATCTACGTGACAAGTGGAAACATGAGAATGCAGGTAGTGAACAACCAAGGACAATCGGTGTTTAATGAGCAGGTTCGAGAGGGGCAGCTAGTGGTGGTGCCGCAGAACTTTGCGGTGGCGAAACAGGCAGGCCAAGAAGGGTGCAAGTGGATATCTTTCAGGACCAACGATAACGCGATGATCAACACCTTGGCCGGCCATAATTCCGCCATAAGAGCAATGCCGGTGGATGTGATCGCAAATTCATACCAGATGTCAAAGGAACAGGCATCGAACCTGAAGTTTAACAGAAAGGAGACGGTTATGTTCAACCCAAGGTCACAGTCATGGGGGTGGTCTGCTGCTGCTTAAATAAGCTCTAGGTCTAGAAGAGTGGTATGTTTGTTTTAGGGTATGGATGTGGAATAAAGAGAGAGAGAGAGAGAGAGATGTAATAGTTTGTTCCTAGTGATAACTTCAATTCCATCCATCGATGTAAGAAAATAAGAGGTTTAATGTTTGAATAAATTCTCTGCAACTTATGGGTGTCGAACATTACTCCATAATCCAGATGATAAACCCTCGGATCGAAATCCAAATGGATCATGAACATACTAAAATTTTCATATTATTAATACTATAAACTTATATAAGACTTAAGTTTATAGTATTAAAAGTGTCGTAATGAATGAGCTATAAATTGCATAACTGCATAATCATTTATCGGTTTACTTACTCTCTACCGGGTAAATATGGTAAAAACCGAGAATCTTATCTGATAAGATATATGACAAGGATCAACAATCTTATCCGGTAAGTGACAATGGTATAAAATTATTATATGTATGCCATTTTGATGACAAGGATCAACAATCCTATCCGGTAAGTGA